AAAAAAAAGGAAATTATTAAAAGAAAAATAAGTACTAGATATTTTTCAATCTTTTCATTTCCGTGTATTCAAAGTATAATCTCAAAAGTAAAAATATGTCCAAACAAAAAAATATTTTTATTTAACATTGCTTTATTTCTTTTGTTGTTTATTGTTTTATTTCTTTTGTTGTTTATTGCTTTATTTCTTTTGTTGTTTCTCATTAATTGACTTTTATTCCAAAAGGTAATAATAAATGAAACTACAATGTCCACGTGACAAAATTGGAGAACTATCATCCTACATATATCTCCTCTCTCGTCTATTTTTTTTATCACATTTTTCACACATTTTCCATCACCATTATTATTACTTTAATATTTAATAATTTTTTACATACACTTTATATTTATTGTTTTACTTTTTAATTTATTTTATTTTTACAAATACAATAATTATTTTTTAATAACTTCAATATCTCTAAAAGTAAATTTACGTTTAATTTCAATTTTTTTTTCGTTTGATCTCTTTCTTCATCTACCTCATACAGTAGAACTCGTTACCATTTTGAAACAATTACACTCCATTCTAAAAACAGAAGTTTAATTTTTTTATTGACTTTTTATTGAATTATTTCTTAAGTCGTTCATCTAATGTTATTCTAATTTTTAAAAGGACTCCTAATTATTTATTTTTAACCTCAATTTTTAATTTTTTAAAAACATTAAATTTAAAATTTTAGCTTTTTTTTTCAATATCTAATTTAGTTCTTTAATTTTTTAAAAACGTTTATTTTGATCTTCTTGACTGTTTATTGATTCTTTAATTTTTAATCTATCATTTGTTATTTCTCTTTCCATTTATAATTAAGTTTATTTTTTTTCAAACCATTATTTATAGTCAAGCGAGAAGTTAGCAAATTGATAAAGAGCCAAATTGTTTTTAAGAAGTTAAATGACTAAACCAAAAAGATTAACAACTAAATAATTTTTTTTAAAATTCGAATAAAATTAATAAATAGGATTAAATTAGAAAATAATTATTTTTTATTTTACTTTTTACAAAATAGTAAGAGAAAAGAGCTTATGTCTTGAAGATTAGAAAAAAAAGTAGTCGTATAACACTGAAAAATAATAAGTGAGTGAAACATTTTTATATTTATTTGATATATAAAAATAAAATGTTTATAAAAGAATAAATTTTTATATAATTTTTTAAAATAAGTAAAAAGTAAAAAGGAATAGTATAAAATGAATATCAAGATTTTATGTGTATTAAATATTATGTTTCTATACTGAATGTTTCTACTGTTAGAAGGCTTAAGAACGAACATTTCAAAGCTCATTTCAATCATCATCGTCATCATGATTCTTCATTCAATATTCATGATGGTGATTCTTCGTCCTTATTACCTCACCATTTCACTACTTTTTCTCGCTTCACCAAACTCGTCCTCATACGTCAACAAAATGAGACAACCTTTTTCAATCTTCTTCACAATTCTCCTCCTCGCCGTCACACTCCCGCCGCCATGTGCCGTCGTCTCCGCCGGCTCCGGCCAGTGGCAGCTTCTTCAGAAAAGCATCGGCATTGTCGCCATGCACATGCAGCTCCTCCACACCGACACTATACTCATCTTCGACCGCACCGACTTCGGCCTCTCCAACCTGTCCCTCCCCGGCGGCCGCTGCCGCCACGACCCCAACGAACGGGTCGTCAAAACAGACTGCACTGCCCACTCCGTCGAATACGACGTCGCCTCCAACACCTTCCGCCCCCTTTTCCTTCAAACCAACATATGGTGCTCCTCCGCCTCCGTCGCCGTCGACGGAACGCTGGTTCAAACCGGCGGCTTCAACGACGGCGACAGAGTTGTGCGGACATTTTTCCCTTGCGCCACCTGCGACTGGAAAGAAATCCCCGGCGGCCTCGCCGTGCGCCGCTGGTATGCCACCAACCATAAACTCCCGGACGGGCGCCAAATCATCGTCGGCGGCAGAAGACAATTCAACTACGAGTTTTACCCTAAAAGCTACGCCACAGCCAAAAACGCCTACTCCTTACCCTTCCTCGTTCAAACCACAGATCTTTTCGAAGAAAACAACCTCTACCCCTTTGTTTTCCTCAACGTGGATGGCACCCTCTTCATCTTCGCCAACAACAAAGCCATTCTCTTAGACTACACCAAAAACGCCGTCGTTAAAACGTTCCCCAACATTCCCGGGAACGACCCCAGGTGTTACCCCAGCACCGGTTCTGCTGTTCTCATACCCTTACGCAGTAAAACCCCAGACTTTTCTTTTACCGAAGCTGAGGTTTTAATCTGTGGCGGAGCCCCGAGAGGGGCTTATACTCAAGCCAAAAGAAAGCATACATTTATCGGAGCTTTGACAACCTGTGCTCGGATTAAAATAACCGACCCGAATCCAACCTGGGTCGTGGAGACAATGCCCGGAGGTAAAGGTAGACTCATGGGCGATATGCTTCTCCTTCCAAACGGCAACGTTTTGATTATTAACGGTGCAGGTTCCGGAAGCGCTGGCTGGGAATACGGGCGCGACCCGGTTCTGGCTCCGTTAGTTTATTACCCGGATAACAATCCCGGGTCGAGGTTCGAGATTCTTAACGCCAGCAATACTCCTCGAATGTATCACTCAACTGCGATTTTAGTTCGTGATGGAAGGGTTCTGGTTGCTGGGAGTAACCCCCACGTGGGGTACAATTTCTCGCACGTGATTTTCCCCACCGAGCTTAGCATTGAAGCTTTTTCGCCGCCGTATTTAGAAGCTGCGTTTCAGAATGTGCGTCCGAGAATCGTTGGTCCGGTGTCGGGGACGAGGGTAGCCTACGGGCAGACAGTAAAGGTTCGGGTCGACGTGGCAAGCGGGTCTTTGGTTCGGAGTTTGGTGCGGGTGACGGTGCTGGCGCCGCCTTTCAACACGCACTCGTTTTCGATGAATCAGAGGATGCTGGTGCTGGAACCCAGCAACGTGACAAACGTTGATGGACCAACAATGTTTGAGTTTGAGGTGACAACACCCGGTTCGCCCGTTCTTGCACCACCCGGTTTTTATCTACTGTTTGTGGTCCACCAAGAAATTCCAAGCGAAGGAATTTGGATCCAAATTCTTTAATCCTTATCACAACAAAACCCTAATTAAAAAATAGAAATTCATATTTATATAACCTTATAATATTGCTTGTGTATAGTTTCTAGTAATATTAACTACAAGTGTATGACATCCTAGTTGCATGTGGATAGAAGGATTTGGTGTGGTCACCGGAAAATGTCCGTGACTAATATAAAGATAATCTTTAAATTTCAGTGTAATGTAATCAATAAATATTAAAATATTGTTGTTTTAATATACATATTATATATTCCTATTGTGGTTCTGATGATCAATGATAAAGTACTTTTTCTAATTTTTAAATATTATACTGTGAGGTATTATCTGGGCATGTTTGACATTGAAGATCACGCCCAGTTGGTTGTAGTATGAACAAGAACAATTTCAGTCATGTGATGTGTAAACAGAACTCTAAAAACGACAGTGACGAAGTTTGCAGAAGCATATGTTGCAATAAGGAATAATGAACATAATAGTAGTACAGATTTCTTCACGTAAATGCACCAAACCTTGTAAAAAATATAAGAGGAATCATACGATGACATATATTAATATTTATTTGACTTGTAGGAACAAAATAATTATTAAAAATTAAACTTTTATATTTGTAAAAAATAAATAACAGATAATGTCAGACGTAAAAATTTGTGTATCAAAATATTATTACTCAAAATATAATTAAATGCATGAAATACCAATACTTATAAAATCCAAAAGGAAGAAAGAATTTTTTTTTCCTGAGTTTTTTTCACGGTTTATTGAAACCCATAAGAAATTATCAATTTTAGTAGCTCCTATAGAGATGATATTTACCGAAATTTATAATTTTTATTTACATTTATAATATTAAATATAAATTATTTTCACTTACAACAAGAGATAATTTTACGGGGGAGGTCAAAGATATTCATATGATAGATTAACAATTTACGTGTGTAAGGTATCTTTTAAAAGGAAATGATTTTTTATTAGAAAAATTTAGAAGAAATTGTTGGTCATCTTCTAAGAAATTTTATAACTACTAAATAATTTTCTCAATGTATATTTTATTTAATCCTATTAAATATTATGATTATTGATGCTTTATATCAAGGAATGGTAAGAGTTTAAAAAAAGGAACAATTAACAATGAAAGTTAATTTGGTAATATCTTTTGAAAATTTGTACTAAGTTAAATATTTTTATTATAATTATATTAAGAGTATCATATATTAAAGAGTGTATTATAAAATGAGGTTTAAATGGTATTTTAAATCTCTAAACATCTCTGTTGTACTATTTAAATTATGTAAACAATGAAAGTGACCCCAAATTTGCAAGTTTATGAAAGTACTTTATTAAAAAGTGGAAAGTTTTGTTGCCTGAGTAATTATATTCTATCTAAATCAATTAGATCAATAGGATGTGTATCTGCCTTTTGTGATTAAAAGAAGCTTAAGTTGATTAAATCAAAATTAAACAAGAAACTGAATCAAGAATGTACATAATCTTCTTTGTTCTTAAACTGGAAATGTTATTATTTTTTTCTATTTACAATAACATTCAAAACCTGATTATTTTTTTAGTGAGTTTGTGTACTCACAATTGTCATCATCACTATTCCAACCTACAAGAAGGGGTCACGTAAACTAGGTTAAAAATTATTTATGATAATCCAGTCATTTTTTCGTAATTTTTAGAAAATATATTTAACACAAACAACACCTACACATTTTACGTTATTTTACTTTTTTTTTCTTTTTTCTTTTTTAAATATAAATTTTACGTTTTTAATGATCATTTTTATTTTTTATATCCATGTATGTCAAATGATTATTTTTTAATTTTTTAATCATATTATCGAGTATTTTGTTTTATTTCGAAAAGTAAAACAAAAGTGGTATCATATATGATATGATTTGTAAAAGTGTATGAATCTTTTATACTTTTGCTTAAACTCTGAAAAATCCAAACCATTTATCTCCAAATAGTATCTGTTTTGACAATTTCCTGATATCAATAATTAGAAAATCTTATCTCAATGCATGGAGTTTCTCAGAAATCAACTCCAAATTCCAAAAAACCAGACACTGACACCACCAAATCTCATAGTTAGATTGAGTGCATAATTCAATAAATAGCAGTGTGTCCACAGTATAATATCATAATTGTTACAAGGATTGTTTTTTAATTAAATTTTAGTTCGCCTTTTTTAGATTGGGTGATGGGAAATAAAAGGGTGAAAAAAAAAGTAAATGAAGAAAGTTGTAGTAAAAAACGACATTATTTTGTATTAGGTAAAAATAGAGAGAAAGAAAACACAATTATCGACTTTATAAATGAATGGATCGGTTTAAAAAAGAAAAAACAAATTTTAGTTAGTTTTTTATAAAATAATTATAGAATCTAAAATCAGGTTTAAATTAAATAGTAGTAATTCAGGTAGAGTTTTATAGATAAAAAAGTAAAATATTAATTATATTTAGTTTAGTTAATTGGTTAATTTTGTCTAAACTTAAATAAGGTGTATAATTGATTATCATAATAACATCATTGATCATGATATAGTGTACGAAAAAGAATGTTTTCATCTTATATTATTGATTAAAAACCATTCATAAAAGATTGCTTAAGTAGATTTCTTCAGTAGTTATAATAATATTAAAAAAAATTTATAGTTGATTAGTTTTACTTCATAAGTTCATAATTAACCCAAACTATTACAAAATCAATTATAATAAAAGATATAATTGGTTATATAAACATGTATAACATATGATAATTATAGTTATACCTTTAAAAATTTCTAAACCTTAATCTTTAAAAATAATAATATAATTGATTATGTATGTCTAAATAATCACTCGATTTACTACAAGTAACTTTCCTTAAATTTCAATGAAGCAAATAAGTTATTGCAAATCTCTAACATTGCACCCACGAATTCAAACAAAGTCTTAAAAGTGTGAAACATGGTTAATTTAATTCTTAAAACGCTAAAAGGTTATGATTTAGGATCTTAGCATATGCATTTTTTTTTTAATATGGTTGAATTGAAAATGGAATGTTGTGGCTTGTGACAGATGATGTTGTGGATGAGTGTGTCTGAATTTTGATTCACGGGTGCTACATATAAACACCGATTCACTTCACGGGTCAGTTTGTTAGATTCAAATTTCATTCACGGGTCTCCCTACTTTCTGCTTTTTTATTCAGCAAAAATCTCATACCTTTTATCATTCAATCTTCCCTATTTACCATAGGTGCATTTGTTAACAAAAAGTTCACCTTTTATGTTCCTCAGAGCAAATGGGCTAATATGTAGGCCACTTTTCCTTTTTCTCTTTCAAAATTAACCATACTAACAAAATCATTACAGAATTTTTCACTTTATTTCATGCAGTTTAAATACAGTAATTAGTTGCTCGTATTAAACATAAAACATCAACAGATTTAGCACTATAAGGGATTTTAAAACTGGAACGACTTCATTATCGATGATATTTTTCATCACTGATAATCATGATTTCAAAAAGTTAATTATGTTTTGTCCATATAATAATCTATAAATAAAAAGCACCTTTAATAACAAAAAAAATTCTTAGAGTGCTAGAATTTCACCTAAGTAATTTCCAATCTCATGGAAAAGAAATAAATTATAGTACTCCATAACAAAACTAATAATACAATCATGTATGAAAATAAAATAAAGCCAATTAAATATAATTTATAATACAACAACTCATTTAAACAGAGAAAGAAAATTCCGATAAAAAAAGTTGTGTATACATTACAGAATCTTATATTAGTATCTTAACAAATACTCAATGACATAATTTGTTTAAAAAAGACAAAATTTCAGAATCCAATTTGAAGACTTGGTTGAATCCAGTAAAATCGCAGAAAAAAAAAAATCATAATCCTAAATATAAATCAATTAAAAGTATGAAAAATTAATTTTTCTAATAACGAGATTGTATTAGTCAAACATCAGTCATTAGGATGTAGAAATGCTAAGAACTAGTTGATATAGTGTATCTTCTGTACATCACATATGAAACTCAGATAAAACTAAAACCCTAAAAGAAAGAAATATAATGCGAAACTAAGAAATACGAATGCTTCATAAAATTGGCCTAAGCACGTTCTCCACGGATACGGCGTGCCAGTTGAATATCTTTAGGCATAATGGTGACCCTCTTGGCGTGAATTGCACACAAATTGGTGTCCTCAAACAAACCAACCAAATAAGCCTCAGCGGCTTCCTGAAGTGCAAGAACAGCGTGGCTCTGGAACCTCAGATCAGTCTGTCAAACACGAAACATAATCAGTATGACGAAAATATCAAATGGGTAAAAGTATAAACAGTTTGAGTTTTGAAATTAGAACAAACCTTGAAATCTTGGGCGATTTCACGAACCAGACGCTGGAATGGAAGTTTGCGGATCAGTAGCTCTGTGCTCTTCTGGTACTTACGGATCTCACTGAAATCATTGAAGGAATATATCAATATTAAGAGAAAAGGAGATAACGAGGAGAAACACCATGATTTCTGATAAGGAAGATAATTACCGAAGAGCGACGGTTCCAGGACGATAGCGATGGGGCTTCTTCACGCCACCGGTAGTCGGTGCAGATTTTCTCGCAGCCTACAATAAAAACGCGAATTAATCAATAACTAGCCTTAAAAATCATGAAATCGGTAACCGGAAAAACAAATTCTCAAAAGCCCTTTGTCAGTCGCCAAGAATACGCGATTGAATCTAGAAAACGAAACAATCAGAAACCCTAGCATGCGAAACACCTAAATTGCACTTGAATTTGAAAAACCCTTTGTTTGACTACAGGAATATGCAATTGAATCAGAAAAACTTAACAACCAGAAACCCTAGCGTAGGAAACCCGTAAATTGCACATGAATTTGAAAAACCATGTGCTTGCCAACAGGAATGTGCAATTGAATTAGAAAAACTTCACAGTCAGAAACCCTGGAATAGGAAAACCCTAAATTGCATTTGAATATGAAATTGACTTTCAAAAACGTCAAATAAAAAGCCCTAGCATAAAGAAACCCTAGATTGCAATTGGATTTGAAAAAACATCCGTTAATGAACAAGAATACGCAGTTGACTTTGATAAAAACGTCATAATCAGAGGAAATCGAATACCTTTGTGGCGAGCTGCTTCCTTGGAGCCTTTCCACCGGTGGACTTGCGAGCGGTTTGCTTGGTACGAGCCATGGGAGAGGAGAAAAAGGTGAAGAGAGAAGATTGGTCTTTCGATTACGCAAACGAATAATGTCTTAGATACGAAAGAAAGAGAAGAGATTTATGTATTTATATAAGCGTGTGTAATACGAGGGTTAGGTCGGTTTAATTAGAGATAAGCGAGCGTGGACTTTTAATATATTTCATTATTAATGATCGCGATCCGTGTGCTTGTTTCCTATTGGCTGGAGCGTGAAGAAAGGATTGCCAGAGTGGAGCATTTGTGTTTCTTTCGTTAAAACTTCGCTCCGCTATCTCTAATACCCCGTGTCCTTTTTATGTTACCTTACACTACCAAAAAAACACAAACTATAATATTAAAATATGAATACACTTTGAAATATTTAAACCTGAGCTTTGTTTAGAAAATATTAGTTTATAGTTAACAATTTTCATTTTTCTGTAACAGATTTCTTTATTTGATCATAAATATTTAGTAAAACTAATTACAGATTAATTCGTAAATATAAAATTGCATGCAAAAAAATATACCAACATAAATTTTATTATATTTTAAAAAATATATATTCTAAAAAAATATAGTATTATATAATTTTAATTTGAGATTTAAAAGACTTTTTTTTTTCAAACTTTTTAATGTTGAATCTATTTTTTACAAGGTGTATATACTTTTCTTAGTAGGATAAGTCAATTTTATTTAAATGTTGAATTAAAGTTCAAGAAAACATTTGTGTGGCTTTTTGTTCGTATATGCTTAAGGGAATACAGTGTAAAATATAATTTGATCTGAATCTCAACAAACTTAAGATGTGTAGTTTGATAGATTCGAGTTATTCAAAACAAGTTTCGTTTAATGGTGACAGCTTATATTTAAATTTAGTCTAATATCCCAAAAATATAACTTTATATAGTAGAATAATCACATTTAATAATATACAGATTAGTCTTACACTAAATAGAATGTATGATCTTGGCCGAACGGTCATACTAAACAAAAAGAAAAGGTGATCGAACGACCACCTTTCAATCAACTAAACTACTGACCGAGCGTCCTACTGTTCGGTCTTAACTTCAACCTCAACTAGGTTTTCTTCCTCCAGCGCCTCTTCTAGCAGCTCGTGTCCTTCTGCTCACATCCACACGGATGATCATTGCAATGACAAAAACAAACATACAAAACAAGACAAGACAGGAAACACAGGGTAAACTTATGTAATTTAATTCGTGTATAAACATACATTTCACACAATCAAACACACAAGATAAATTTTATCATATGTTTCATACAAAGCCTAATACTAGACTGACTGTCCGAACTGTATGAAATCTGTGTAGCTACGACGTTCGTGCACCCGGGTGATGTAGTAACTGGGATGTCCTCAACAGCTGCTACCCGAGGTTAGTCCTATCTGTCCAAGTTAACCATAAGAACTAGGACCTCCTGCCGTTCCCACACATGACCTACCCTCCTCTATGTGAGGACAAGTACTCACAGAACATCAGGATGAACCGCCAGCTTAGCATGACCACATTCATACTTTACCAATTCCAATATTCAAACAACAGAAGACCAACAATGACTCAGACAAGATGACACCGTGCAACCAGAACTTGGTTTGCATGTACCAAATAACGAACGGCTAAGGGCAAGAAGAACTTACCAGTTCAGAACTCGAAACCGATCGGTTCAAACTGAAGCCCTGGACGCCGGAAGTGCTTCTACGGTGCCTGAATGGAGATCGGAGAAGAGAAAATATGATATTTGGTAGAGAGAAGTGAGAGCTTTTAGAGAGAAGGAGGAGAAAGGAGAATTTCAAAGTTTGAAGAAGAAGGTGCATGCAGAGAGTGTAACGTAAATTTTCCAAAAACTCAGTTTTGCTTCCCACGTCAAACGAACGTCCGCTCATCTGCCGACACCTGCATTCCACTATCTGATTTCCGGATCCTCTTCGCTTGACACCTGACGTCCGTTCAGAGGGTTTTTGGGTGCGTTTTTAATGATTCTGACATTCTCACTAACTACAAAAATTTTCGTCCTCAAAAATTAAGACTTACCCTAAAACAGATGGGGATACAAGTCCCTCATGGCATCTTCCACTTCCCATGTAGAGTCGCCAGTCTTCTCGTCCTACACCACTCTCACCAATCTGATGGCTTTCCTCTTGTAGTACTTGGTGCGGCTATCTTCAATACGAACGGGTTGCATTTTTAACGTTCGGTCTTGACGAAGACGAATGTCTTCTAACTCCAAATACATGAGAAGGGTCGGCTATGTACTTCGGAAGTTGAGAAACATGTCATTCTTTCTGATTGGTTCATATTGGTATTTATGATTATTATTATTATTAATGATCAATCACAGAATAACACGTAGATGATGTTAAAATGTTGTAAAAAATGTTGTCAAAGTATCGTTATCCTTAATATTATTAACATTGACTAAATAATATCAACAAACATATTTGTTGGTTCAATTATTATATATTAACAAATTATGCGTTCAAATCGCATAAGTTTGATTATATAATTTGTTGATATCATAAATATCTCTTTATACCATACATCACCAAAATAAATGGTTATTTGATTAATATTATATTATAGTTATTATTATGTTGATTTATCATAAATGTAATAAGTTTTTATTATATTTATTTTTTAAGTTTGTGTAAAATTGACTTAGACTCAAAAAATATTTTTTTTAAATCATATTAGAGTCATCTAAAATATATTATAACGATGATTTATTTTTTTATCTATTATGTCATTATTATCAAACCAGTATTTATCTTCATTAATATTGAGTCTCGCGATGTATTCTGAACATGAAAAATGTATTAAAAATCTTAAATTAATTAAAAATAAAAAAGATTACAATATATAATGAAATGCAAATATCATGTTACAAACAAAACTTATAAAATTAAATTAGAGTTTAAATTTACTTTTTATTATTATTATTACAGTGGTACATGCAAGCAAGACACACTTAACCAATTAAGTTTTATTATAAACATACAATAAATATATTTATTCTAACATGTGCGATCATTTCACATTACACATTAAAT